TGCTCTTCCTGTGGCTGGCACCCTGCGCTGCAGCTGCTCACAGCCAGCGTGGGGCTGTTTGTGCCTCCTCAGGACAGCCCTGCACGGGTTGCAAGTGGCTGCAGCAGGGAGTGCCAGCCATAGGGTGAGCAAGGAGCTGCTTTTCCTCACGGTCTGCACCAGCTCCTTCCCTGCTGGCGAGCAGGGGTTTGGGGCTGTGTGCTGCCCCCACCTGTACTGCGGGGCTGGGGGGCACTGGGAGTGAGCGGGGGCGGGAGCACAGGGTCCTCACCAGTGTCCCAGGGCCAGTGCCAGCAGGGCCCAGAGCAGGGGGGGAGGAGTACAGGGTCCTGGCTGGCAGGGGCTCTATGGAGCCAGGCCAGCTTTCCCCTCTCCCTGCTGGTGCAGCCCATCCCGGCCCCACAGACCCCTGCCAGCCTGCGCCCTGCTCTGGGCCCCACTGGTGCTGGCCCTGGGACATTGGTCCCAAGACATTGGGACACTGGTCCCAAGATGGTGACCAGGGGGTGGGGCACCTGTCAAGGGGCGGGGCTACCCATGCGGCCCTTGACAGCTTGCCAAAACTGGGTAAGCATCCCTCTACCAGAAATAATTGCCCGCCCCGGCCTAGGATATATGCCACATGCAGTGCTCCCTGTCCCCAGCTGTTCCAGGACATACAGTACATAGGGCACTCTCCCCTCATGCGGCCACATCCGGGTTGGCTGGGGCAGGCGCCGTGTGTGACATGTCCCAGAGCAACCAGAACAGGTGCCATATGCCCTGGATCCAGCATTTGGCTGGGTGTGGGGGGGAGGCAGTACCTTCTTCAGGTCTTTTGGATTTGTTGTAGAATAAAGCATTCCAAGGGTACTCTGAGCCTTTACACTTGCTTTTGGATTCCCATGGTCTGCAGCAATAAGCCAAAGTCTAAAGAAAAAAATTGAGGGTGAAAGGGAAAGAAGGCAGGTGCAATAAATGATATTACCATTCAGTGTCTCATATAAATCATAGGAAAAATTAAATAAGGTTACCTTTCTGCCTCTTCTGCTGAATGCTTAACACCATATCCTTCAAAATATGCTCTACCAAGGTTGTATGCAGCAGCATATTTTAAGTGCCTTGCTTTGGGGGAGGTAGAGTTGATGATTTTCTCCATATATTCCACTCCCTTTTCCTTTTAAAAGATTTTAATACTTTCAGAGATAAAAAGGACAAAACTGAAAGTGTGCAGGTCTATTAAGTTACCTGTACAATACTCAAAGACCTTTTAGACTAAAAAAAAAAAAACTTAAATGGAAAGAAGCCTGGATGCAATCAATTACGATGCTCTGACTCTAATTCTCTCACATTTTCAGACACTTACCATTCTTAAAAAGTGTGCATAAATTAAAGCTTTAATTTTTGTGAGAATGTTGACCTATTTGTCTAATAAATTATTCTGAGTGGGATGTCAGTTTTATAAGGATAATAAATACTATAACTCCTTGTTCTAGTTCAGTGGCTTTCAACTCTCTTTCATTTGTGAACCCCTAAAAAAAAAATTGGAATGGAGGTACAGATCTCTTTGGAAATTGAGTGAAGGTATGGACCCCTCTGAATTGCAAATGTGGGTATTCGCATGCTTTTGATTGATAACTCATCTTTCGCGGACCTCTTAGACAGTCTGCAGATCCTCAGGGGGTCCATGGACCACAGGTTCAAAAACACCGATCTAGTTTATTGCGCTCAGTGAAGGATGATGATTTCAAATTAGTACTACTGTACTGTGCAGCTCACAAATTGTTTCTTAGCTACTGCTATTAGAAGTGCACCGATACATCGGTCCAATAATAGGATCAGCACCGATATCAGAAAAATTGTCTGTATTGGAAATCAGCCTGATATGGCTGATAATGGGCCAATAAATGCCCTGTTCGTGTGTGCAGCCACTGTGCAGCACATAGGTGGCGAGGAGCACAGCCCAGCAGCTTGGAGAACTGCATGCAACTGTTAAGACTGTTGTGGTGGAAGGGGAGGAGGGGAGGGAAGGGGTGTGGGAGGAGCAGATCAAGGCCCCTGCAGTGAGGGAGGGAGGGGCTGGGGCAGGCACTCCCCAGCCAGGGCAGAACATAGGAGGGAGTCATGGCTTATGCTGGGGGGGAGGGGCTTGCACTGCTGCACGCACCCCAGGAGGGCATAGGGTGGAAGGGGGCTTGTCCCCCAGATCTGTGCAGGGCAAGGTGAGCTGCAACTGTGGGTTGGACCAGGGCTGCGCCGGGCTCTTCCTGGTGGAGGCTGGGCCGGCTCCGCTCTGGGTGGGTGGCTGGTGGAGGTAGAAGGGGAGTTGGGGGGGGCTATGGCCAATACTGGGGGGGCTACAGCTCCCTCCCGGGGCTGCTGTCACCCATCCCAAGCACAGCCTGGCCCAGCCCCTGCTTGGAAAAGCCTGGCGCAGCCTTAGCCCTAGCCCACAGCTGCAGCCCGCCCGCCTGCCCCGCACAGATCCAGGCTGCATCCCACCCCCCAGGCCCTCCTGGGGTGTGCACAGCAGTGGAAGCCATCCCCTCCCCCCTCCATCCCCGGACAAGCTGCAGCTCTGTCCTGTGCCCTGCCCAGGCTGAGCAGCACCAGCCCCAGCCGCACTCCCTCCTTCACCACAGGGGCCTTAATGGGCCCCTCCATGCCCTTTCCCTTGACGGATGGCCAGACACAAAGCCCGCAGCGTGCTGAAGCAGGGGTACCTGGGAAGTAGCAGCCTGGGGGGCAGGGCTGCTGCCACCATTCCATTGGTCATGCACCACTTTCATGCACCACTTTCCTGCACCCCATCCCCACTCAGTGCGTGGCGGTGGTGTGGGGAGCTTGCATGCAGCGGCTGCCCCCACCACCATCTATACTCTCAGCGCTGTCGCTGTGTGCCGGGGGGGAGGGGTGCTGATGGCTGGCTGTATGCGAAGCCAGTGGAACAGAGAAGTGGAGATACTTGGGAACAGGAAAGCAACGCAGTGTGATGGATGGTGGCAGTGGCCCCGCCCCCCATGCCTCCGCTTCACAGGTACCCCCACTTCTCTGTGCTGCTGGTTTTGCGTTTGGTCAGCCGTCAGCAACCCCACCCTGCTTGCTGGCCGCAAAATGTACAGATGGTGGTGGCGGCAGGGTACAAGCTCCCCATGCTGCCAGCTTCAAGTCCAGCCATCTGTCTGCACCCACCCCCACCCACCAAAAGGGGTACCCTGTTTAAAAAAAGTTTCATAGTTTCATAGTTGGTAGGGTCAGAAGGGACCTGAGCAGATAATCAGGTCCAACCCCCTCCATGGGCAGGAAATAATGCTGGGGTCAAATGACTCCGGCTAGGTGTCTATCTAGCCTCCTTTTGAAGACCCCCAGGATAGAAGCAAGCACTACTTCCCTTGGAAGTTGGTTCCAGATCCTAGCCTCCCTGACTATGAAGTACTGCCTCCTGATATCTAGCCTGAATCTACTCTCCGTCAATTTATGGCCATTATTCCTTGTTATTCCTGGTAGTGCTCGGGGAACAGGGACTCTCCCACTGCCTGCTGGTCTCCCTTGGCTAGTTTATAGACAGCCACCAGATCCCCTCTCAGCCTTCTCTTGTGGAGGCTGAACAGGTTAAGGTCTCTGCTGCCCCCTGATCATGCAAGTGGCCCTCCTCTGGACCCTCTTGATGTTGTCCACATCCCTCCTGAAGTGCAGTGTGCAGAACTGGACACAGCACTCCAACTGCGGCCTGACCAATGTCATATAGAGGGGGAGGATTGCCTCCTTGACAACCTCTGCCTTAGTTTTTTCAGTTTGTTTTCTATGTTTGTTCAAGTGTGCCCAGTTTTTGAGCATTCCTGGCAATAGATGTACTAGGGGTGCCAGGGTGAGCGTGGGGCATGGGATGGAGCTGTGGCTCATCCAGGAGGCATGGGGTGGGGCAGCTCTCACTATCCTGTTTACCCTGGGAGGGCATGGGGGAGGGGGGCATGTGCCCCACAGATCTGTATAGAGAGGGGCAAACTACAGCTGTGGGCTAGGGTCAGGGCTGCGCCAAGCTCTTCCCAGCAGGGTTGCACCTGGAGTGGGCAGCAGCAGTGCTGGGAAGGGGCTGGGGGGGCTGTAGCCACCCTGAAATTTGTCATAAGCCCCCTCCCCCCCCCAACCCTGCCTCCCAGTGCCACCACTGCCCACCCCACCCCAAGCGCAGTCCAGCTTAGCCCCTGATGGGAAGAGTTCAGTGCAGCCCCAGTCCAACCCATAGCTGCAGCCTGCCCCGCCCTGCACAGATCCAAGGCCCCAGCCCCTCCCCGTGCCCTCCTGGGGTGCATGCAGCAGCAGGAGTCACCTCCCCCAGACAAACTGCAGCACCGTCCTGCACCCCGCCTTGGCTGGGCAGCACCTGCCCCAGCCCTAGCCCCTCACTGCGAGGGTCTTGATCTGCCCCACAATGTCCCTTCCCTCCCTCCTCCCCATCCACCACAACAGATTTACCAGCTGCGCGCAGCTTTCCAAGCTGCTGGGCTGTGCTCCTCACTGCCTATGTGCTGCACTGCGGCTGTGCTCATGCACGGGGTGTTTATTGGCCACATCAGGCCAATTTCTGATACAGGCAATTCTTTATATAATAAAGGGCTTAGTTCATTTTTCTGTCCGTCCATAATGCTCTTGGAGCACTCTGATTGGTCAGTGAAACCAATCAGAGTGCAGAGTGCCACCATGATGGTGGTGACAGAGGGGACAGAGTGGGGGCAAAAGGGTTGGGGAGCAGGTATCAAAAGGGCTTGGGAGACCTTCTTGCCTCAATAGGACCTCCTGAATCTGAAAAGAGGAGCTTATAAGGGATGGAAGTTGGGAGCTACCACTAAGGAGAATTACACAGCACTGGCCCACACCTGTAGGGAGTGGACCAGAAAAGCCAAGGCAGAAACCAAACTGAAACTGGCTACACAAATCAAGGACAATAAAGTCCTTCAAATATGTGGGAAGTCGGAAAAAAAACAAGGACAACATCAGACCCTTGCGGAACCAAATGGGGCAACTGACAACCGACAGCCAGGAGAAAGCTAATCTCCTCAAAGATTACCTTGTGTCAGTTTTCCACCAGCCCAAGGGGATCACCTTGTCTGACAGGATGCAGGACTACCAGGGTAAGGACAATCACATGCCTATAATTGGCGAAGATCTTGTGACGGAACAGCTTGAGAAGCTAGACATCCACAAGTCAGCTGGACCAGATGGAATGCACCCGAGTGCTACAAGAGTTGGCCGAAATCACAGCATGACCAATGGCAAGGATATCTGAGAAATCGTGGCTCTCAGGAGAAGTTCCTGAAGATTGGAACAGGGCCAATGTGGTGCCTATCTTCAAGAAAAGAAGATCCAGGGAACTACAGGCCAATCAGTTTGACCGCAATCCCTGGAAAGATCTTGGAAAAAGTCAAAGAAACCATCGACAACAGGTTAACAGCAGACAATGTTCTGAGGGAGTGCCAACATGGCTTCGTTGCAAGTAGGTTTTGCCTGACCAACCTTATTTCCTTCTATGACCAGGTGACACATCACCTGGACAAAGGAGAAGAGGTTGATGTCATATATTTAGATATCAAAAAAGCCTTTGACTTAGTTTCCCATGATGTCCTCATGGTAAAATGGGGGAACTGCGGCCTTGACAACCTTATGGTCCAATGGCTGGGGAACTGGCTCTGTGGTCAGACCCAGAGAGTGCTGGTCGATGGAACTGAGTCAACATAGCGCATGGTGATCAGTGGTGTCCCCCAGGGCTCAGTACTTGGACCAGTACACTTGAACAAACATAGAAAACAAACTCTGAAAAAACTAAGGCAGAGGTTTTCAAGGAGGTGATCCTCTCCCTCTATATGACATTGGTCAGGCTGCAGTTGGAGTGAGAGAGAGTGGTTTGACATGGGGCTGATGGAGCAACGGAAGACACTGCAAGCAGGGGCACAGGAGGCTGATATCGGACCGGTGAGGCGGGGGATACTCACTCAGAGGGCAGTAGACGGCGAGTGGCTGGCGAGATCCCTGAGAGTCTGGGAATGGCACCCTGGAGAAAAGACCCCAGAGACAACCAGCTCCTGATCAGAATGGCGGAGAGGCAGCCACAATTGAGAGAGGATCAATAGGGAAGCTGCAATCAGCCAAGCCGCTGAACAGCCACTTCCACACTAATGAGGCAATTAGCGCGGTCTGCTACACTGTATTAACTCCAATAAAGACAGGCACTTGGTAGAGCTAACGCCTGGGTGGTCTGGTACTTCTCACCCCCTCCCCTCAGGGATTAACATCCTATCTTTTACCATCTCCTTAGTCCTGGCAGGTGAGTCCTGAGGGGAAAAGGAGTGGGTAGTAGACAACCACCTACAGGCAGGAAGAGAGAGGCGGCGGATTAAGAGTCCCAGAGAAATGGTTTGAGGACATCACAATGCCAGAGCCACTGGCACTGCCAGCTCTTCCTCTTTTTGCTCCTGTGAGGTCGCTGTCTAGGCAGGACCACTCCCCATCGAGGCTTCCACCCAGGTCCTGGTTTGGCACTGTGGAGATTGCAGCTTGCAGGTTCCTTCCAGTGACAGCCAGGTGGGGGACTGCCTGAGATGTAAGCAGTGCCTCCTGGTGGTGTCCCTCAGGGAGCAGACGAGAGCTACAGGAGGAGGTGGCGGCAAACCTCAAAAGCATCCTCAGCCACAAGGACTTCATTGATTTAGTGCTGGAGGAGACCTCTAGGACTCCAGAGGAAGGCTTGCCAGAGGCAGTGCTAGAGAAGGAAAAGGACATGGACTCCTAAGAAGGTGGAAGCTGGTGAACTTGGCAGCAAGCAGAAGTCTTCATCTCCATCTCCAGCAGTTTGTCTGACGAACAGATACAGAGCCCTAGCAATAGAGGAGGAAGAGAATTGGTGGAAGAGGCCAAGCATCCCCAAGTTTGGGAGGATCGAGACCAAGGGTGACCCTAAACAGATCAAAAGTGACTACGGGGCTCTGGGTGCAATGGTGAAGGGCACAGGGGCTCAGGTGGTATTCTCATCTAACCTGGTCAAGGGGAAGGAGCTGGTCAGGAGCAGAAGCATCCTGCAGATAAATGCATGGCTGTGCAAACAGTGTTGCCTGCAGGGCTTTGGCTTCTTTGACCATGGAATGTTGTTCCAAGAAGGATTGCTAGGAAAAGATGGGATCCACTGGACAAAGAGAGGGAAGAGCATCTTTGCAGACAAGCTGACTAACCTACTGAGGAGGGCTTTAAACTAGGTTCACCATGTGATGGAGACCAGCTAGTTACCTCAGGTGTCTGTACACGAATGCACAGAGCCTGGGAAACAAGCAGGAAGAATTGAAAGTCCTCGGATAGTCCCAGAACTATGATGTGATCGGAACAACAGAGACTTAGTGGAACAGCTCACATGACTGGAGCACCGTTATGGGTAGGTACAAACTGTTCAGGAAGGACAGGCAGAGGAGAAGAGGAGGAGTTGCACTTTATGTAAAAGAGCCATATGATTGCTCAGAGCTGCAATATAAAACTGGAGGTAGGCCTGCTGAAAGTCTCTGGGTTCCATCAGAAAGGAAAGCAACCAGGGTGATGTCGTGGTAGGGGTTCTCAACCCCTTTTAGGCAGGCTACAGACCAGGGATTCCTAACCTTTTTAAATTGTAGACCAGCAGACCATGGACATGAAGTGACTGTGGACCAGTCCACAGACTGGAAGTAACTGTGCACTAGCAAACTGAGGACCAGCAAACTGCAGTCCAGAAGTGACCGTTCACAGCCCGGGGGTTGGGAACCTCTGCTATAGACCACCAGACCAGGAGGATGAGGTTGATGAGGTTTTCTTCAAACAACTAATGAAAGTTTCTCAATTATAGACCATGGTTCTCATGGGGGACTTCTATCACCCTGACATTTGATGGGAGATCAATACAGCAGTGTGCAGGCAATCCAGGAAGTTTTGGGGGAATATTGGTGATAACTTCTTGGTACAAATGTTGGAGAGACCAACTAGAAGCCATGCTGCTCACAAACATGGAAGAAGTGGTGGGGAAGGTAGTAGTGCATGTCAAGTTGGGCAGCAGTGACCACGAGATGACTGAGTTCAGGATCTTCAAGGAAGGAAGGAAGGAAGGAGAGGGGCAGAATAAGAACCCTGGACTTCAGGAAAGCAGACTTCAACTAACTCAGGGAACTGATAGGCAAGTTGCCTGGGAGGCCAGTCTGAGGGGAAAAGGAGTCCAGGAGAGCTAATTATATTTTAAAGAAACCTTAGGGCGCAGGAACAAACCATCCCAATGTGCAGAAAGACTAGCAAGTATGGCAGAAGACTAGCTTGGCTTAGCAGGGAACTCTTCAGTGAGCTAAAACACAAAACGATGCTTACAAGTGGAAACTTGGACAAATGACCAGGGAGGCATATAAAAGTATTGCTTGGGCATGCTGGGATGAAATCAGGAAGGCCAAAGTATAATTGAAGTTGCAACTAGCAAGGGATGTTAAGGGTAACAAGGGTTTCTACAAGTATGTCAGCAACAAGAGGAAGATGAGAAAAAGTGTGGGTCTCTTACTTGAATGGGAGAGGCAACCTAGTGACAGAGGATGCAGGAAAGGGTGAAGTGCTCAATACTTTTTTCACCTTGGTCTTCACAGGCAAGGTCTGCTTCCAGACTACTGCACCTGTCAGCACAGTTTAGGGAGGAGGTGCTCAGCCAACAGTGGTGAAAGAACAGGTTAGGGATTATTTAGAAAAGCTGAACGTATACAAGTCCATGGGGCTGGGTAGAATGCACCCAAGGGTGCTGAGGGAGTTGACTGATGTGACTGCAGAGCCATTGGCTATCATCTTTGAAAACTCATGGCTATGAGAGGTCCTGGATGATTGGAAAAGGGCAAACATAGTGCCCATATTTAAAAAAGGGGAAAAGGGAAGGATCCAAGGAACTATAGACCAGTCAGCCTCACCTCAGTCCCTGGAAAAATTATGAAGACGATCCTCAATGAATCCATTTCTAAGCACTTCAAGGAGAAGAAGGTGATTAGGAACAGTCAGCATGGATTCACAAAGGGTAAGTCATGCCTGACCAACCTGATGAGCCTTCTATGATGTGATGACTGGCTCTGTGAATGCAGGAGGAGCAGTGGACATGAGATACCTTTACTTCAGCAAGGCTTCTGATACAGTTTCCCACAACATTCTTGAAAGCAAGCTATGGGACTACAGGTTGGATGAGTGAAGTGGATAGAAAAGATGAGTGAAATGGATAGAAAACTGACTTGGGTCATCAGGCTCAGAGGCTAGTTATCAATTGCTCTCTGTTTAATTGGCAGCTGATCTTAAGTGGAGTGCCCCAGGAGTAAGTCCTGGAGCCATTTTTCTTCAATACATTCATCAACGACATGGAAGACAGGATGGAATTCACCCTTAGCAAGTTTGGAGTACACTGGAGGGTAGGGTTAGGATTCAGAGAGACTGCAACAAACTGGAAGATTGAACCAGACGAAATCTCATGAAGCCCAACAAGGACAAGTGCAAAGTCCTGCACTTAGGATAGAACAATCCCATGCACTGGTACAGGCTGGGGGCTGACTGGCTAAGCAGCAGCTCTGCAGGAAAGGACCTGGGGGTACACAATAAGCTGAATATGAGCCACTAGTGTGCTCGTCACCAAGAAGGCTAACACTGGGCTGCATTAGCAGGAGCGCTTCCAGCAGATGGAGAGAAATGATTGTCAGGCCACATCTGAAGTCCTGTGTCCAGTTTTGGGCCCCCCACTACAGAAAGGATGTGGACAAATTGGAAAGAGTCCAGCAGACCTAATACATTGCTTTTTTCCTCTCTCAAAAACAATGTAATTCTCTCTGTAATATAAAAATATTACTGCTCTACAGAGGCAGAAGAAAGATTTATAGAATGGAATTAATTTTTGGTCAATGAATTGTCATAGAATGGAATTAATTTTTACTGATACTGTTTGTAGGATCTTAATTACTGATTGTTCTAGAACAGGTTTGCTAAAGATTGTGGGATAGTTTGAAACTCTGCAAATTGGTGCTTTATTTTTAATAACACTAGGTTTAATTAATTTAAATATAAATGAAAAATTCTGTTTGTTACGTTTTCAATGCATGAAAAGTAAGTCAGGTACTTTCCAAATACAAAGACACATTCTCTGTCCTTAACAGCTGCACTTGAAAGAGCCAGTGAACAAAAAAAGTTTTTTTCAAATGTATTAAAACCATTTTGTTGTAGGAAAAGATTTGAGACAATTTTTTAAATGGGCCATTTAAACACATTAGTTGTCACTGTATGATGAGACAGTGCTCTACCTCTATGCCATAAATTGCACTCTTGAGGCTTCTCTTTGACAATATGTCCTTCTTGTATCTTTTCTCAATAATGCTGAGAAATGTTTAATACAATTATTAAATAGTAAAAAGCTATTTAAGGGATTGTCTAGTAAGGTTTTAAGAAAAACTAAAAACATGGAGCTAGATAACAACTTACAGGGTCTTCTTTGGTCCCCAGTCCATCATAATGCATCACACCAAGTTGATACATAGCTTGAAAATCTGTGTCCTTGATTTTTTCGAATTGTATGAATGCATCGGCATACCATCCCTGAAAGGCACAATAAGCAGAATAATCAAGTATTTAAAATTAAATAGCAGCTGAATTTAGCAGTATATAGCCATTTACATTTTTTCAAATGTGAATATTTCCTTAGTAAAGAAGAAAAAAAATACTTTAACAGAAGAAAGGCTGAAAGGAACAAAAGAATGTATATCATAAAGTCGTCACTAAAATCAGCTTCCACAATTGAAATAGGGTAAGTCAAAAGTAGAAAATTATTTAATTAGAAGGGAATGCTTAAGACTTCCAAACAAGCTTTGCTAGTTATATAAAAAACTGCAAACAAATGACAATGATAACATAAGACTATGGTCATAGAAATAAACGGGTATTCTAACAATGCACGTTGTACTCAAAGATTGTTTAAAATCCAAGGGGCTACTATCTGAGCAAGACATAAACATGCAGAAGATATCAGCTGATGTCTTCATTTCTTCCTAAGGCCTCAAATTACATACCTATCCTTATTCAACAAAGCATGTAAAGCAAACTATTTTATTCTACTGCCTTTTGAGTCATCAATTACAGAGCTAAACTCATGGTTAATTTTAAACACGTGCTCATGTGCTTCAATAAAACAACTTATGCAAGGACTTATGTGCATACTAAAATGCTTTGCTGAATTGAAACTTAAGTATAAGTCTTATATGGCAGAGTTGACAACCTTTGGCTTGCAGGCTCAATTTAGCCCACGAGGCATTGGATCTGGCATACAGTGCTATTGGATCTGGCCTATGCAATCAGGGGAAGCCTTGGCCACAGAAGGCTTTACCTGTGCCATTGCTGGGTGACAGGGAGAAGTGACAGAAGCAGCAGTGGGCAGGTCCTAGTGCTGGCTTTCTTTGGACTTAAGCCGGGTCATTCTGGCCTTCTCTCTGGAAAGGTTGCCAACTGTTATTGTATGGCATAAGGCAGCATCTTGCAGAGATGACACTAACCGTACATGTGATTGCTCTGGAAGTCAGCACTATACAAAAGCCAACATGATCTACTGAAGTAACTAGCCCACATGTAGCACCATGCTACTGCCATAAGAGTCTTTCTGGTTCTGGAGCCAGCATGTGCAGAACTACTGTGGAAAATCTCTACATGGTGCTACCTTGCACCACAGACATACCCTATAGTAGAGAGAGGTAGTTAGCCATATTAGTTTCAAGTCAGGCAAAAGTCAGGACAGGGTGGCATCTTAGAAACTGAGGTGCCATTGCCCTGTCTTTTGCTGGGCATGCCTTAAGAGTTGGATCTCTTCCCACATATCCACTGTATGACTTTATCTTCACTGACACAATGGTGTTTTTTTGCTACACAAATATAACAACCAGCTAAGTGATACAAGGCACATGCAGCATATACCAAGAGTACGCTAGTAATGTCAGCACTACCACAAAATTCAGATCACCCCTACTCAGGGCTGACCTCATATGTTTACCTTCACAGTAAAATTAAAATGTCTTGTCTCCTCTGTTTCTTTACCAATGAATAACTAAAAGGCAAGTAGCTGCTTGCACTTTGTTTAAACTTTTCAGAAAGAAAATATTTAAATTTCTACTTCAATGATGGAGGAAGAAAGCTATTTTAAAATACAAAGTAAAATTGTTATAATATAAACAATTTCATTGAAAACCCTGGCATCCTGTTTTTAAAGTGTTGCTTAATTTATTAGAGCAGACAAGGTTCCTTGGGTGAATTTGATATCTTTTATTAGAGCAACCCAAATGGTTGGAGAATAGTTATTAAGCAAGCTTTCGGGTTCAAAAACCCTTCGTCAGGCTAAGGAAGCTTCAGCAGTTGGTGTGTGCTCTTCCTGGATGGAATGAAAAGTAAAGAAGCCAGGGGCTGGGTTGGGCTGGGGAGTCAGTTGCCAGGCAGATTATAATGTATCAAAAATCCAATGTCTATGTTTAGTCCATGATCTCTAGTATCCAGCAGGTTGATGAAATGGAGCTCATAGGCTCGTCTCTGGGAAGTGTTGTGTAAGTTTCCCTTGAGGATCAGGACTGAGAGATTGGAGAGAGAGTGGCCCTCCTGTGAGAAATGTGCCCCCACCAGTAATTGAGTGTTTCTGTCTTTGATGGATTTCCGGTGTGCGTTCATTCTGGTGCGCAATTGTTGTTTGGTCTCTCCTACATGTCTTCCATCAGGACATTTGGTGCATTGGATGAGGTATATTACATTTCTGGAGGTGCAGCTGTAAGATCCTGGGATGCTGATGGCTCTGTTGTGGGGTGTAGTAATAGTGGGGGTGAGGAGATGTGTTGGCAGGTTTTGCATTTCTTGTCCTGGCACGGTCTGGATCCTTTTGGTGTGTTCTGGGGTTGAGGAAGTTTGCTTCTGGTGATGAGGTTGGCGAGGTTCGGTGCTTGTCTGAAGGCTAGGGTTCTACAATGGTGTTATAGAAGAGTGCACAATTTATTTAAAAACACTACTTGATCTCATTATATAGAATTTTAAAGTCTTTGACTTAGAAAGCTAGTAACTAAAATGCAATATACATGAACTATAATCATATTATCTGGTTGAATGTCAACATTATTTTTGATATATCAGATATAAGTGTAACTCCTAGTTCTGAAATAATTTAATTTCTAAAAATTCAAAGTAGCTATTTTGAAACCTGACTAGATTAGATATTCATATTAGCATAAGATACTACATTCACATACTTCGCCTGACGAAGGGTTTTTGAACCCGAAAGCTTGCTTAATAACTATTCTCCAACCATTTGGGTTGGTCTAACAAAAGATATCAAATTCACCCAAGGAACCTTGTCTGCCTATGTCCTTAGACCAACACGGCTACAACCCAAACCCCTGCTTAATTTATTAGAAATTGGAAAAGGTCCTAATGAAATAGAATAGCATATTAAAAAAAGGGCATTTGTTATATTTCTTCTTAATTTTTAAAATTTTGTTCAATCTTCCACTGGTGACAACAGTATTAAACATCAGGAATTTAGAACTCAGCAGCTGATCAACATTTGGTCAAACTGCCTTATGTAGCAAAATATTTTATGCTAATATTACCCTGTACCCACCACCATCAAGCTAAATCTTTCTTGGAAATGGTCCCAATAAAACAGCTGTCCTGAGTAGGTGATTGTGGGCTGTTGCTGTTGA